CACAGACTTTTGCTGTTTTCGTACAGTAGTCTATCCCTTTAACTTATCTGATTACAGGTTTCGATCAGTACTCATTAACGTTCAATTAACACTAACGATAGAAATTAATTAAACCAATGTCAAAGTTTGGGACAAGATGTCCGAGCATTAAAGCTTATTCAGCTGTTAATATATCAAAACATCAGCAGTCCATCTTCCATCGTAATAAAAATTAGTTAAATAAAAGATGGTTAATCTTATCAGTTTGCATAGTTACGTAAAATCACAATAATTATTATTTCTAGAAGCTAAAAGATTATTCATGGAAAGAGCGCATTTACTTCTGTAACAACACATTTAACAAACTGAGCGGGTCTAAATAGACGCGATAAAGTTTTTAAAAACGCAAGTTCATTTTTTTAGCAATGTTTTAACTGCCGCCGTCCTCATCGTGGTTGCTTTAACCTCTCTAATCATAATAACAAGATGACGAAATTGTTTCTTCAGGCAACACAAAAGAGAAATACTTGACTTATGCTGTTCAAAGCAGGAAACTAATTTCTATCTTTCCCCCACCAATCACTGGATGAAAAAACAGATTTGAAATGAGATAAATGTGGGACAAATGTGGTCTAAATATAAAATTTGTCATATTTGTTCACATTTGTGCAAAGCACAAATTAGATATTTGTCTTTAAGACAAATAGGATAATGATGCATTTGCTGTCTAAGACAAATGTGAACAAATGCTGTGTAAACGTAGGACAAATTTAACATTTGCTTTGTGACAAATGCAGATAAATGAGCCAAACTGCAAACAAATGTGTTCAAATGTGTTCAAACTTTGTCAAATAACATATTTGTATGGACAAATATAGAGCAAATTTTATATTGTAAAGTGAGCGTGCCAGGCCAGTACATACGTACTACCCTTCTCTCTTTTCTTCCCTGGCATCTACCCCTTTATTGCTTCTTGCAATTTTCACTTAACACTAGCTTTCAACCTTTCTTTAAAGTGGACTAATGCTGCAGAAGTTCATTGAACTCAACTAGGACAGGTTGAAAGACCATCAGTTCGATCCCTTTCCCCCTCATTTATCACAACCCTTACCTGAAACCCTGATATAACGAAGACACTGCTAAAACAGTAACAATCTTCATTGCATTTCGTTCCTTGAAACTTCTTAAATATCAGAGTTCCACTGTAAAGGGTGCAAGGTGATTACAATATTTAAAGAAAAATGACTCAAGAATTTTAACTGACAATTCTCATTTATTTCACAATGCTTGTCCTGATCTTACAATTAACTGTAAAACAAAACTAAAACATTAAGTTTAACAAGTGTCAGTTGATTTCAGGATGACCAAGTCAAAAGACTTTATTAGGTAGATAAATAAACAGAAAGTGACCAAGCTGGGATTGCAAAAATCACTTTTTTTTCAAAGTGACCGAAATGGGGTCTATAATATGGCCACAGAGTAGACTATCGGTATACAGTAATGGGATAGGGATACTGAGAGGCCAGCAGCACATACCCAGTAAAAATTAACCATTAAATAAAACTTTCCCTTCAGGTACCATTGGTACAACATCCAACAAACTGTATCTTTAGTTAATTACCACAGGAAAGATAACAATCTTCATAGCCTGTGAACAGGCCTTTGGTCGAGCGGGGAACTAACTTGCTATTGTTTTCCCCAAACAGAGAGCCTGTTCACAGGCTACAATCTTCATTGCACTTAGTTCCACTGTTATTAGAGCACCGTAAATCCTCTATTAAGCCCCCCGGGGGGCTTATTTTTTTCAAGCACTTTTGAGGGGGGGCTTAATAGAGAGGGGGGGCTTAGTTAATTTAGCAAAACGCATCACCTGTAGCAAAAATACCGTGGTATGAGACAGAGTAGACTTACGCGTTGTACAATTAAAGTCACTGTCAAAAGTATTTATTTCACTTGTGGGAGCCTAAAAGTAACAAAAACAAAATTCTTATTCTTCAAAAATGTTCTCCCCAGAGAACTAGAGCGCAAAGTTGAGAAAGTTAAGCATATGAAGTTGGAGGTCATGCGGCCAAAGACCAAAAACAATATGAACTTTCAGCGTGAATAAGCCATAACTGATTAGTCCACGTTAATTGTTAATTTTTTTGTGAAGTATAAGGATTGGGGGAGGGGGAGGGGGGGCTTAATAGAGAGGGGGGGCTAAATAGAGGATTTACGGTATGTAATTTTACATAATAGCTATTAAAAACACCTCTGTTAAGTGAACACCTTGAGATGGTCCCTGTTTCTCTTTATAACTCACTCTATTTGGATCTCTATAAGACGGATATACCGAGTCAGTAGTGCTGGTCCCAAAGGTGTCCATCTTAAAGAGAGTTGACTGTCCAGACAAAATATTCCTATTTCTTATATTAAAAATATATCTAAATGCACTTTAGGAAATACAAATAACAAAAAGCAAATGCCTCACAATTGCCAAGGTTTGTTTCGTGGGCTATTGATACTTGCCAAAGGCAACAAAACTAATGAAATAGCTGACTTCTGGAGTGACTGCTAGAGGGTTTAATGTACATTTGTCATTAATCAATAATGCTACAAAGACTTGACTAAAATTTGGTAAACAGCAAAAATTTCACATATCATAATATATTTTTGTACACGCATCTTATTGATAGCTTGAGAATTTGGAAAAGTTTAAGCCTGGGTAATCAAAGACTATACCGTTTGCACTCTTCAATGTTTGCCACAGTTAACCAAATAATCCAAGTTACATTTATATAAGCTCTTAGAAAATCCATAACATGTATTGTTATTAAAATCTATAACCAAATAATGGACTTTGGACATTTAAGCCAACACTTAAACCTTGATTATCTGGACCTCAATTAACCAACTTTTTGATTATCACAACTTTTCCTCTGGTCAAAGATTTCTTAAATGAATATTGCAAATAAACAAGAAGGTAAACCTAAGCCTGATTTTCTTTTGGCTTCACATCTTCGAAAGAGTCATTGAAAAGTTTTCTTTTGTCTTTGAAAAGCAAAGTTGGTACTTTTATGTGATGTCAGCCTGCAAGGAAAGTCGTGTCCGATAGCCCGGGGCTAGTGGATTTTGCTATCGGGCTAGTGATTTTTGTTCTTAACTTGCCTGATGGGCAAGTGCTGTTTTTTGGAGAAATTCAAATTAGCGAAGGATTGTAATCAATCCTGCTAATCAAAAAGGGTTTGGGAGCTAGTTGAAATGACTTGTGGGCTAGTACGGGGTAGCTACAGCTTGCCAGAATGGCAGGCTGTAAAACTGACTTTCTTTGCACCCCGGATGTATATGATAAATTAAGCTACCCTATTAAGACAAAAAAATGCCACAGTTGATTATCTTCTGTGGAAGGTAGCCTCATACTACTAATAACATATACTTTTCTATTATCTCCACTCTCTTTCTCATTAAATTCATATAAACAAGGTCAGTCCAGGTTGTGTAATGCTGGTTTATGCAAACTTTGAGTTGAGATAGGAAAGCTTATAAACAAATTCACTTTAAAAGTTCTTTTTGTCTGCAATTTGATGATTGGATGCTCTAAAAAAGGAGAGCACATTAAGTGTGAAAATGGTTTTGAACAAATGAAAAAGGAAACCAAATTATTTAAAAATTTATCCCCGTGTGGGTTCTAATAAGCCTTTGAACAACTGGGCCTAGGCCTTGACTGAGAAGTGGCCTGAATATGGCTCATGATGGACCGTCAGCTGCTGGCCTCTCGGATATCCCACTCTCAAACCTGGGCTTTGCCATAGCTCTGGCATGAGGGATAAGATTCTTAAGGTAAACAACACCTGAGGCTGTGCTCTCCAGGTCACCCATGGCAACTGACTTTTAATCCTGAGTGTCTAAGGCCCAGTTCAAACGTCAAATTTCACATGCGCAGAACTTTATTCCTAATTTAGTCTACTTAAATAGTTAAATGTGGCATTTGATTTACACGTCAAATCTAACTCCCTGAACTCTGTTGAATTTAACTCTGTTAAAAGTCAATATTCCCAGTAATATAATAATAATTTACCAAAATTCATGTATTAAGTTGGCACATGTGAAATGCAACGTTTGAATCAAAAGTTGAACCTTAGTCGAATCTTCGACTGTTTCAGTCGCAGATAGGGCAAACGTCGCATTTAATTTAATTGATTTAAACGTTGCACTTCACATGCATTTAACTCTTGCGTTAAGTTTGGCTCAAGTGAAATTCGACATTTGAACCCAGCCTAAAAGAACGTTTTTCATAGGAACCATATCTTGAGCAGTGTGGATTTCACAGTTTCATAGCAATGGACTCAGTCCCTTCAAACTTTCTTTGAGCACAGCCATTTGGCTAGGAAAACATTTTAACACTCATGAGGTAAAAAAATAAAACATAAATTTGTGAACATACTCCTCTTCCACTTTAGAGCCACTTGTCATACATGTTTTTTGTCAGCCATCTTTCTGCATGTTGGAAACAAAACAAAAATTATAGCTGTAAATTTACCAAATAAAGTGCAATGTTAGATAAGCTTAAACTTAAGCTTTGAGACAGAAGCATATAACCCTGATAAGGACTTCTGCTTTGAGATAACCATAATCATCCATAATATACATGTATTTGGTTGCTTCCAACAGCAACTTTCTCCAGGCCATCGATCTCGTTTTGTTTAAAGAAGAAATAAATATGCCCCACTTCAAAGACTAACATTGTCCCTCAAAAATTGGGCGCTTTAAGCAAAGTTGTAGGCCCCACTTCAAAGACTAACATTGTCCCTCAAAAATTGGGCGCTTTTAGCAAAGTTGTAGGCCCCACTTCAAAGACTAACATTGTCCCTCAAAAATTGGGCGCTTTAAGCTAAGTTGTAGGTTCCTGTGATGTTTGATACAACGCAGGCAAGTCGGCGCCTTTGAAGACACGCTATCAGTTCAGCTCCAAAGAATAAGCACAAACTCTCACGATCAAAAGCATTTCTTATATCATCAAAGCAACAAGAAAGTAAACCTACCCTTAAATCCATTGGAACTTCTCCTTTAGATTCTCTGCGTGACAGTTTTGAGCCGCGTTTGCTGTTATTTAGTCGCTCCTGTTTTGCTAGTTACGTTAACTTGCTGAACTGCTGCGTTTGCTTCTTTCAGTTTCTTCTGGCTCTCTAAAATAGAATCTAGTCTCCTGTTCATGTTTTCCATCAGGAAAAGTTGTCTTTCTTCAGCAGGACTGCTTGTAGCCATGATTGAACCATAAAATACGAGTCTAAAGACAACGAAAACTAAGGGCCAAGCTGACAAAGAACTTTACGAAATGAACTGAAGACGCTGTCAAAAGGGTGATCAAACATACCGCGCGTGTAGCTGTGGACATTTGATTGGCGTTCAATCGCTGACGTAACTTAACGTCACAATATCTGAACGCGAGTACTTTTCGTGCATTCGCGCGCGCGTTCATTCAAAAAGACGATCAAGATGAAGGGATTAGAGAATAGGGTGTACTTATCAGCAGCGCTTATCTGGACTTAAGCATAAATTCTGGAATGGATTTCACGTAATACTGATATTTACTATAATTCTTGTTATAGTGAAACCTCTATTAAGCGAACCCCCAATTAAGTGGACACCCTCTATTCAGCGGACACTAAACCGGGTCCCGAAATTTTAATTACGTCTTATAAGTCCCTTTATAACGAACCCCTATTCAGCGGACACTTCTATTAAGCGGACGCGGACACTAAAATAAATTGTATTTGGCTAATTTTTGTTGTTAATAACCTCTATTAAGCGGACAGCGGACCGAATTAACAATAGTAGTATTGGATTACGTCCTTGAAAAACGTGCTGTAGTCGATTAATAAAGGTAAATCAATACATTTAGCTGTCGATAAACTGTAGATTATACCGAGAGTCTTGCACAAAGTACAGCACGGCTTCCTTAGCTTCCTTAACAACAAGTTAAACATTGCGCAATTTTTACAAACCCTGTTAAGCGGACACCCTCTTTTAAGAGGACGCTTGGGAAGGTCCCGAAGGTGTCCGCTCAATGGAGGTTTCACTGTATTACTATTATTATTTTTCTATAGTTAGGTCTTTTTATCTGGAAATTGGTACGGAAAATTAACAGCAATAGATTTATATCTCGCCTCATGGATCAGAACCTTATCTTATTAAAATCAGCGCATTGACTTTTACGCCATCCACTGGGACTTTTGAATTGATTTTTTATAACTCTTGATATGGACGTTTTCTTTATATGAATATTTTACTGAAATTTTGTGTGTAGTTTTTATAAGATTTTAATAAAGTATTCTTTATATTATTAAAAAAAAGTATAGTTTTCAAAATTGTCACGGTACTTATTTACTTATTTATCTTTTATTTATCTTTTATCTGGAAATTGGTACGGAAAATTAACAGCAATAGATTTATATCTCGCCTCATGGATCAGAACCTTATCTTATTAAAATCAGCGCATTGACTTTTACGCCATCCACTGGGACTTTTGAATTGATTTTTTATAACTCTATTGATATGGACGTTTTCTTTATATGAATATTTTACTGAAATTTTGTGTGTAGTTTTTATAAGATTTTAATAAAGTATTCTTTATATTATTAAAAAAAAGTATAGTTTTCAAAATTGTCACGGTACTTATTTACTTATTTATCTTTTATTTATCTTTTATCTGGAAATTGGTACGGAAAATTAACAGCAATAGATTTATATCTCGCCTCATGGATCAGAACCTTATCTTATTAAAATCAGCGCATTGACTTTTACGCCATCCACTGGGACTTTTGAATTGATTTTTTATAACTCTATTGATATGGACGTTTTCTTTATATGAATATTTTACTGAAATTTTGTGTGTAGTTTTTATAAGATTTTAATAAAGTATTCTTTATATTATTAAAAAAAAGTATAGTTTTCAAAATTGTCACGGTACTTATTTACTTATTTATCTTTTATTTGTTATTGCTTAAACATGACATAAAGAGTTCAGTGATTGTACAGTGGGACTCCGAAATAACGAAGAACATTTTTTCTAGTCCCTTGGCCTTTCATTATGTCTAGCGGTATATATGGTGATGTGGTTTAGACCGTATAGTGTAGGGTGGTAGTGCAAAAAAGACTCCACTGATGATATGGCTGAATAATTTTGGTCTTTTGACTAGAGTTGAACTTTCATATTTTCAGTGGCACAGCATAATGATCAAAACACTGACAACTCATCAGTTTTAAGGAGTCAAAGGGAGGAGGATTCTTTCCTTTTACATCTAATCCAACTTTCCAATCTTGGTAATAAAAAAGGCTAGTGAGCCTCACACTTGCAACGTAAGGTAACTTCCTAGCATACGCCAAAACTTCAAAACACTCCTTTTTAATACATGGATATAAACAAATGGTCATTTTTATGAAGAGACGGTAAGTTCCCTTTTATTCACTTCACTTAAAGTAATTTTTAATTTCCCTTTTATTCCCTTTTATTCACTTCAGTTAAAGTAATTTTTAATTTTTAAATTTTTATCGTGTAGTCGTAATTTACGCAGGGCCCCTATTGATACCAGCCAATGGCTGATAGGGCCACTCTGCCTAAATAAAGTTGACTCTGACTTGACTTGACTTGAATACAGTGGAACCTCGATATAACGAGCCTCTGTAAACGTTTTAATCAGCATATAAAGTACGGTAAGTTGATCGGAGCATTGATCCAGTCTGAGTAAGGCGCAATAATAGCTAGCCAGAAAATCCCTCATTGCAATTTCTACATATCTACACCTACATGCATCTACGACTACTTGACAAGGGTTACCCATTGCGCCAAAAACAACCAAATAAATAAATTAATTAATTAATGAGACAAACAATAGCCTTGTTTCTAAACAATTCAGAAAATCATATAGCGATTTTACTGGAACGAGAAGCCAAAAAATTATTTTTCTCGTATTTGTCTTGTTTTAAGATATCTTTGTACAAGGGCAAATATAATGGCATATTTGAATCACATTTGTCTCACATTTCCTCAAGACAAATGTGACAACAGATTTGTCTCACATTTGGGACATTTGATGGGTGGACAAATCTGACATCAGATTTGTCTTAGATTTGTCTTTGAGGCAAATATCATTAAATTCAATTTTTCGTCCAGTGAATCACTAATCACAGTGTATGATTTATGTTTTATTTCTAATAGTGCACCTGCATGAAAGCTGAGCATGCTCCTTGTCACCTTTAATTTAAAAAAGTATCTCGCATCAAAGGGTCCAACCATCGCGTTCTGTTTACGTCATGTCTTATACGGCTGCTATCACAATATTGAAGTACGTTGCAATTTTCCAAGGTCTCTGTATTTTTACTGGAAATTTTATCACTATGATTGTTTTTTGGATTCACCGATACAAGTTAAAGCGAACGTCTTTTCTTCTTATCAACTTGGCTGTTGCAGATCTGCTGGCTGGACTGGCACAAGCGGTTATGGCAGCCCAACCCGTTCCACATACCATTTCAGCAGACATATCAGCTTGCTTTCAAGCTGCATTTTTGGCTGCATCTGTACTTTTCCTCGTTTTCATCTCACTGGAACGAGCCTATGCATTGATTTACCCTCTTCGACATCGAGTAACAAGCACCAATGCTTACATCTACACTATCATAATCGTGTGGTTGATTGCAATAACTTGGGGTACATCTTGTCTGTTAGTTGTGTACGACATCTTCGAATTCAAATTCTACATGGCAGCCTTCTCCTTTGCCATTTTGTTTTGTTTAGTTACTATCTGCTTGTGTTACGTGGCAATCCGAGCAAAACTTAGTCAAGAAAGTCCAGCTATCGACCAGGCAAATAACAGACTCAACACTGACCGAAACACAAAGCTTTCCAAGACTTTCTGTATTGTCATAAGCGCGTCTGTGGCTCTTTGGGTCCCGGGACTTGTATTTTACTGTATTTATTATTTTTTGCCGAGGTATTCTGTGATTATGAACTACGCCTCCTTTATTTTACATCAAACTAATTCTCTCTTGAATCCGATTATTTATAGTTTAAGGATGCCGTTCTTTAAGGAAACGTTTAAACGCCTGAAAAACAAGATGAAAATTCGAAAGCAGACAAAAACATACACAGTTAGTTGTCGAACGTTAAAAACAGAAACATAAGCTGCCTATAGTAAAGAGTGGTACAAACAGTTACGCGATACAGCTGATGAGCTCTCCAGTTTCTGTTGTTACAAAACACCGAGGAACAAGCGCTAGCTACTTAATAAAGAGTGGTATAATAATTTTCTTTTCAAATCAAAAACAAATAAGAACATGAATATTTCACTTTGAACAATCAAAAATTTTAAAGTTTCTTATTTTTTGTGTTCGATCATTTGATGCGTTCTGCAAATTTTTAAGGCTTAAAAATTCGGCATGGGGTTTTTTGGTACCAGAGTTTTTTTAGTTTTGTTGGAAGCCTTAGAGATTTGTTTAGGTTTTGATTTTGCCCCCATTCGATATCGTCGTCGCATGGTTAGCTGGTGTTTCTTTGGTTTCATTACCCTGGCTGGCTAGCTACGGAATCTGTCAGTTTTCTCACTATATCCTGGGGTCGCTGCCTTTAAAAAGAAAGTGACCCCACAATCGGTACAACACATCATCGAAAAATGGTTGAGGAAAACACAAGGAAACTTTCCAAAACTTTGTTCCTGCATGCATCTGCTGCATTTTGGGTTCAAGCCTTGTTTTATTCTCGTACCTAACGTTCGCTTTAGAATTTTTTTCTGGATTTATAAAATATTCCTTCACCGTAATTCGTCTTCGCAATTCGCCTGTGCAAATCCACTGATTTACAGTTTAGAAATGCAAATATTCATTCAAAGTCTTAGCCGATTTCATCGTGAAAATTTGAAAACAGCGGAAAATACGCAGCTAATTAACGATGGAACCTTCAAAAACACTGCAAAGAAAGATTTACCTTTTAATTTTCCTTTATTTTGCTTGTATAACGAGAAATAGTTTTATACAGCACTGAAAGGTACAGACATACTTAATAATCATTCCTGAAAACCAGTGCCTGAGGGAAAAAAAGTAGAGACTTACTTTTCTTTATAACAAGATAGATGTTATTAATGACATAAACGTAATTAAAGTTTTTAATAGCTGAGTTTCAAGTTTAAATAGATCTACTTTTAATGGAGTCCTTTGTCCCTGATCCTTGTAAACACGGTTGCTAGTTAATCAGTACCTTGCATGTGTGCTTTTGTCATTCTTAATTAAAACCTAAGACAATGTACTGTTTGGTTCCGGTTTATAGCATTGCTAAATTAATAATTCATTTCATCATAATTTATTTCGCTTTTGACCTATGACAGGTATTACTGGATGTCAGCCTTCGCAGTCTTTATGCTTAATATTTCTTTAATGAGGGGATCACTATGGCCAATCGGTGGTGCTGTCAAAACTAAAGCAAACCTACAACATCCACACCCTCTATAAAAGTTGACTCAGCTATCCCAAGTGAACAACACGTCAGCAAATTCAAGCTGCTCTGAAGATTCTAGCCGTTTTCAATACATCCAAAACACCCTCAACATTATTTTTGTTATGTCTGATACGATTACCATAGCGATTTTAAGTCTCACTCTTGTCTTATCTGTCTTCATATTTACCAAATGCTTTCACCGTATTTGTTTTCTGGATTCATCGCCACAAACTAAAGCGAACGTTCCTCATCGTTTTCAACTTGCCTGTCGCTGACCTTCTTGTCGGTCTTGCAGAAACTGCTTTTGTCGGATTCAAGATGAATGACAGTAAGCCCTATGTAAAAATTTTTAAGTCCTTTCTAGTTATAGTTTCGGGTGCATCTGTATTTTTTCTCGTGCTCATTTCACTGGAACGATCCTTCGCTTTGAAGCGCCCCTTACGACATCGTGTAACAAGCACCAAGGTTTACATCCACGGTATTGTCATCGTTTGGTTGGCCGGAATAGCTCTGGGTGCACTGAAATTACTACCGATATACGGGATCTTTGACTTGAAACATTACGTTGTCGCTTACTCTGTCATCATTGCTCTGTCTTTACTCTTGATTTGCTTTTCTTATCTTTCGTTCCGAAAACGTTTTTGCAAGTGAAATCCTGTTCGGATACAGGATACTGCAGAAAAAGTGTGGAACAAAGCACAAAACTTTCCAAGACCCTTTTTATTGTAATAGGTGCATCTGTTGCACTTTGGGCTCCAAGCATGGCATTGTACAACTTGAGTCTTTTGCGCGAGGGTTTGTTCCCTGGCTTTGTAAATTGTATTTTTGGTATGTTTCATCTAACCAATTCTCTTATTAATCCAATAATTTATAGTTTGAGAATGCCTCTATTCAGGAAAATTTTGCAACAGCTTAAAAATAAGTTAAGAGTTCTGCACTAGAGATCGAAAAACTATGCGGTGACAAAGACTCGAGTGACATATAGACGCTCAACACGTTTAAAAAGGGGCAGCGATGGATTTGAAAGTCTTCTATTTCATTTTTGAACACAAATAAAATAACGATGGGGCATAAACGGCAATCATTTAAATTAACTTTTAAGTTTACTAATGGAATCAGCCACTTTCTACGACAGTCTTATTCAAGACTACGCTACGCTTACCCGGAAATTTACAGTCAGCACCTGCGTATAAGAACCAAGTGGATTAAGAACCTCCTGGCAGAAATTGGCCGCTTTAATCCCCCAAAATGCAAGAACCTGTTTAGCCAAGCAAGATCAAGCAGGTTCTTATATGTGGGTTGAAGTTGAATTGGTATATTAAACAATTTAACCATGGACTGTAACTTTGAGATGTAAATTTAACTATAACAAGAACATACTGTACCAAACTGTTTATAAATTTGGTATTTGTTAGCATTATGGTAATACATCATAATGAATAAATACTGTATTTTAAGGACCAAACCCAAGTTTATTTTTCTGGTAATCAACATTAATCTATTACACTCCTTCATAAAGCTTAAATTGCCAATAAGTACCACAAAATACAAGAACCTATTTAGCCAGACTTTAAAAAAAAAGTAGGTTCTTATTCGCAGGTGTTACTTTACTTATGTCGATTGACATGACTCCTAGGTTCTAATCATTCCCTGCGGTGCTACCAAAATATGCCAGCAAAAACACTGTACCGTGCATATCAGTGGAGCAAGGAGATTTTAATAACTATGATTTATTATGATTCATTTGAGGTTCAATTCTGCTAAAACTCATTAAATGTACTCCTCGAATAGAAACCATTTTTATGTCTTACAAACTTCATTTAAAATATCATCACGTTTTATGGAGTAAGATTCAATATAATTACTAAAACCTTTAATTGAATTTCGTTCAAGTGAAGATAACAGCGGATTGACTTCCTTCCATTTACTAGATAAAAAAAAACTGCAATATTTAACTAATACACAAGAAATTTACTTACAAACCAGGTGTTTGCTTGGACCATAAGGGCAACTTGATAGGGAACGTACAATAAATTGAATGAAAAGACGACGAGTACTCCTTTCGAAATATCTACCCTGGATCTTACACCAACTGTTTTTACTGATCCGCCAATCACGGTATACATGTTATACAGTAAGTGTGAACCTTCGAGGGTACTCTTAGTTCACCGATTTCAAATTATTCTCAAGGTTTGTTTTCAAATGTACTATGCAAATGCATCTTAAACTAAAATTGCTGTTCGGTTTTTGATCGTTTTTTTTTTCTTCTTTCATCTCAGTGGGTTATCTAAACATTGCGGAACTTTATTAAGAATAAATATAACAATGCTTTTCGTTATTTGATTCAGCGCTCAGTGTCAGTAAAATGAACATATATGATTATATCTTGTCATTTTGAACGATGAATTAATGTAAGGTATTTTCTTATCCTGGTGATGGGTATGTTTGTTTTCAAATAGATCGACAATACTACTAACGGCACTGAAGGCGGATCTTGAGCAAAGGCCACTTCACAACCTTATTAAAAATTAATTACTTCTTTTGGAAAACTCTTCGAAGGTCCAAGTCAATATTTATTCTTACAACTCAAATATTATCGCCATCGAAGGTGAACTATGAACGGGATCTCATTTTCTACCAACCTGCCGCCATGTGGTCTTTTTATGTATTCTCAGTTTTGTTACGGTCCTCATTCTTATTGTTAATACATATACTGTATTTGTTTTCTAGATTCATCGCAAGAAACTAAAAAGAACATTTTTACTTGTTATTAACTTGGCCTTTGCCGACCTTTTTGTTGGATTCACTGGAATACTGACCGTGATTGGGGCATTTGCTTTTCAGCGACATACTGGCTTGAATAATATCAGTTCACTCTCACACTCTCTTTGGTACCCTCATGGTACCTTTCCATTTATATCCGTGTATTTTCTGGTAGTTATTTCTCTAAAGCGAGCCTTCGCTTTGATTTGGCCGCTTCGACATCGTGTAGCAAGAATCAAGGTTTACATCTACAGTGTTGTTATCGTATGGATACCGATATTGTTTATCCGATATCTTAAAATAATTAAGAAGACCTTTGACCAATAAAAAATTGGTTGAAATTTTAAATCAATCGGAAAATTGTTCTGTTTGTAGCGAATTCTGAACCATGGCAAGGGAACGCTATATATGAATAGTTTTTCTCACAGCCTAGGCTTTTAGGCAAGGCAAGCGAACGGGCAAGTTTAATTTTATGTTATGGTGAGACTGGAGAATTGCAGGCAATGGGATCGAAAAGGACGAACTGAACTGAGACAAATAATTTCTGCATAACGTCATTGATCAAGTGGGTATTGCTACCACGAAAACAGGGTAGAGCAGAAATACTATACTTTGCGAGCAAATAATATAATTATAGTATTTTAAATCGAACGATACTAAACATATTTCAATTCCCTTTCACTCATTTGAAGCAGACTGTCTAATTTTTTCTTTCCTCAGCTTTCTTGTGATTCTCAAATAGAATCAGAAATAAATGTAAACGTATCCGTCCAAACATAAACTTGGTTGTAAATGAGTGGTCCCTCTTTGTCGCCCCATGTTGGGGAATCCATGACAGTCTTGGATTCTGGATTCCACACCATGGATTCCTCATTCCAGCTACAGGATTTTAGTGTCTGACGTCGGTGGGACTTGGTTTCCGGATTCCAGTCGCTAGTGGGCTTCCGTAGTCCTTGAGCTGTATTTCTGATTCCACAAGTAAAAATTTCCCGGCTGTGCTCCCTTAGATGGGACAACTCTATTACCCTTTATAAATTAACTAAGATAGTACGCGCGCTCCGATTGGCCGAGAGGCATGTTTGCATGAGAGTATGTAAACATGGTTGTGACGTCAAGATGCTTTGCTTTTCGCGTGCTAATCACGCAAGCACGAATTTGAAAAAGGTTTTGAGTTGAAAAACTTCGTCTCGGGTTTGCCCAACTTGTCTCGAATTCTCCCAACCCCTCTCGTGTTTATATCAGGCTATGCACACACGGAAAACGTTTTCTATTGCTTAAGTAATCCTTGAAACTCCTGACCTAAGACGTTGCTAACAGTCAAATCCGCTTAAAACACTGTTCCTACCGTTACATTTGGAAAAAAGGTTGATAAATTCGCTACCTTTCGGTTTGTAGGATGAAAATACCCAATATGTCTAGATGAAGTTTATTTGGGTAACCACGGTACTCGCGTTAAGCAACTCTCAATCTACTTTACGTACTCATGAGGGATCTTAAGCAAGTACGACAACCAAAACGACGACATGAGAAAACATGTGGTTTTAAGGGCAAAGGAATATACCTTCATTTGCATCACTATTTTTGTTACATTTCTTCAACATTTACTGCACGACTACGGCGTGAAACTTCATGATAAGACGTTTGTGGAGGACATGAACACACGGCAAATTCTCCTTTCTCTTTCCAGACCTGGATAAAATCCTTAAGAATTCCACTCCAGAAAAAATCGTCAGGACCCATTTAACAAATTGAGCGGGTTCTAAATAGACGCAATAATGTTTAAAAAAACGCATTAAGTTCAGTTTTTTAGCGATGTTTCTACTGCCGCCGTGTTCAACAAGATGACGAAATTGTTTCTTCAGGAAACACACACAAAAAAAATACTTAAGTTATATTGTTCAAAGCAGGAAACTAATTTCTATCTTTCCCCCTCCAATCACCAATCACAGTGTATGATTTATGTTTAATTTCTAAAATGCACCTGCATGAAAATTGAGCATGCTCCTTGTCACCTTTAAAAAAGTATCTCTCTGTCAAAGGGTCCAACCATCACGTTCTGTCAACGTCATGTCTTATACCGCTGTTATCACAATATTGAAGTACGTTTCAATTTTCCAGGGTCTCTGTATTTTTACTGGAAATTTTATCACCATGATTGTTTTTTGGATTCACCGATACAAGTTAAAGCGAACATCTTTTCTTCTTATCAACTTGGCTGTTGCAGATCTGCTCGCTGGACTGACACAAGCAGTTTTTGCAGCGAAAGCACATCCACAAATCATTTCAGCAGACATTTTAACTTGCTTTCAGGCCGCATTTTTGGCCGCATCTGTACTTTTTCTCGTTTTCATCTCACTGGAACGAACCTATGCATTGATTTACCCTCTTCGACATCGAGTTACTAGCACCACTGCTTACATCAACGCTATCATAATCGTGTGGTTGATTGCTATAACTTGGGGTTCATCTTGTCTGTTAGTTGCGTTCGACATCTTCGAATTCAAATTTTACATTGGAGCCTTCTCTGTTACTGTTTTGTTGGGTTTGGTTACTATCTGCCTGTGTTACGTGGCAATCCAAGCTAAGCTTCGTCAAGAAAGTACAGTTATCGACCCGGCAAATAACAGACACAATGCTGAGCGAAACACAAAGCTTTCCAAGACTTTCTGCATTGTCATAAGCGCGTCTGTGGCTCTTTGGGTTCCAGGACTTGTATTTAGCTGTATTTATATTATTTTTCCTTGGTATTCTGTGATTATGAACTACGTCTCCTTTATTCTACACCAAACTAATTCTCTCTTGAATCCGATTATCTACAGTTTAAGGATGCCATTTTTTAAGGAATCGTTTAAGCGCCTGAAAAACAAGATGAAAATTCGAAAGCAAAC